GTTCACTCCATCTGTCGAGAATTGGTTAAAAGAACCTCTTAAGGAAACAGCGTGCTTAAGACATACACCTAACAATCCGTCTCTGTTAATTGTTTCGGCTTATTTAAACGTACTCTGGAAATACATGAGGCTCTTTTTTTTTTGGCTCTAGATAAGCGCAGCTGCTCCCAGCAATTGCAACGGTTCAAGTTTCACATAGTTCAACAAAGTTACTTTTTGCACTGCATTTCGAAATGTGCTGCACAAAAAGCAGGAAGCACGAACTAAAGCTTTGTTTATTTGTGTACTTTGTGCACAAAATGAGATGTAAGAGAGAGAGAGAGAGAGAGCATATTCGTGTCACATTTGCAGTCGAGTTTGTATAAAGCTAACCAATACTACTGAATGTAGATGATTGAATCAAAAATACTTAATAATATAATCTTTATTCTTCATCAACTGTGCTGTAAAGACATCAAATTTGAATGGCAACAAAAAGAAAGCTAGATCTTCAGAAAGATGCGAACTACTTGGGCAGATAGTTCATTTAACTAGCCAATATTGAAGAGCTTGATGACAGGGTAGTGCTCAGTCGGTTTCACCCGTGGCACCCGACTGCAATGCGTTCAGCTTAGTTTTTTTCTGGGCCAAGTGCGTTCAAAGTGAAAGCAGCGCCAAGGGCTTCCCAACTTTGCTTTGAGCTGAAAATTTAAAAACAGTGGCCAGCAAAAAGCATTCGAAAATATGAAGGAATTTGTACTTTTGGCACTTGGCAGGCGACAGGACATGGTCAATGCTGTGTGTATAGAGGAGATTCTCTCGCATCGTTGCCGCGGGGCTGCTCTTGTATGTTTCAATTAACCGAAATGGTAAACGACTATCGTAGGCATTAACAGTGTTGAGATGCTCGCCTCATGCTGGGCTGCACAGCCACAAGTGCTGGGCGTGGGTGCGAGGGAGGCGTGGCTGCAGCAGCATCTGTTTGGACGACAAACAGAACTAGAACAATTGCAGCCAAGCAAATCGTTTTGCTGCGGCCACAAGCAAAACGAAAAAACAAAACAAAAAGAGCAATGCAATGACGAGCAACAGTCAAGAAAATGCATTTCAATAAGCCAACAAAACGGGCTAAGCAACCAAAGCGAGATAGATGAGGGAGAGAGAGAGAGAGAGAAAGAGAGAGCGAGAGAGAGAGAGAGCGAAAGAAAGGGAAAAGAGCGTGCTGCCGTCGTAAATGAAAAAAGCAAACAAACGTAAAATTTTATTTGTGCGCAATTTTCTATAAATTTTCATTGATTGCCATTGGGATATTGGCGACATTTGCGTTTGGCATTTTACTGCTTACCGCGTCCTTCACACACCCACACACCAACACACACACACACACATACCCATACACCACTGAAATGTTGCTCCTTTGCAGCTGGATAACGCAACTCTTAAGGTGTTGATTTTCCTACCATAACTTTGGCTGCACTTCTTGTTGGCTTACTGTTCTTGTTCTTGTTGTTGTTGTTGTTCTCGCATGAAATTGAAAAAGCATGCACAGAAGTGACTGTGTATGTATGTGTGATTGTGTGTGTGTGTGTAGATTTCCAATCAGCTAGAAATACCGACAAAATATGAAGTTTCTTGAACAGCAAAAACGAGTGCAAATAAATTATGTTCGCTCGCCTAGCGGAAGCGTAAGACCTGTAAGCGGCAGCCACAGCAGCAACAGCAGCAGCAACAGCAACATCAACAATGGTATAGGGGCCACAACAGCCACACGGACATTGGCAGCGAATTAATGTCTCGGCATGCCACGAAATGGCCAACGTGGCGGAATTTATGACTGCCGGAGACAACTCTAAAGTGGCCAACGCTGCGGTGTGACAATAAAATGGCGTCAAATTGCCATAAAAATGAAGCCCGAAGAATGAAACCCAAATCGCTGGCAAACCACAGCCCGAGAAGCGCTCTGCCCATATACAAGTGAAATAATAAATAAGCGCATAAACAGGAGTTGGATTCGGCGGTTGCTTAGGCAGCGGCAAGTCAAAGGGTTCCTCTTTCTCGAGATCAACTCATAAATTTACCGAGGAACCAAGCAGTATGTAGGCAGTGGGCTGCACTTTAATCAATTTCACAATTTTACCTTAATAAAGTTAAAGGGACAATGGGAAAATGGGAAAAGCACAATGAGAGGGAATCAGGTCGGAAATCAGACGAGACTTGAATCCAATCGAGTATAAATTGAAATTACAAATTGTTTGTGATGTTGAAGCATATCAAATAATAAAAATATAGGGTGAATTAAATTACTAAAATTCATTGATTCATTGAAGTGAAAGGCAAATAGATGAAATGAAACCTCAAGGCGAAGAATTGCTGCGACTGCGACCACGTTGACAAAAGTCTAAAACAAACAATTAGCTTAATAAAACAAAATGATATCCTTTGATGATTAAAATTGGAAAATTACATTTTATATAAATTAATTATAAATAATATCAACATTAGTCAAGCAGGTTGGCGAAACGAGCCCGACAGGTAATTAAAATAGTTGTCCTTGATTATGTTTTTAATTCATTTCAATATTTTTCTCTCCTTCACTAGATTCAATGGGTTATGTCTCTGCCGTTACCCCATTTGCCAGTTCAACGCCAAATCTTCTGTTATTCATCAACGCTAAGGCAACGCTGATTCTACTTTCCTTTGTTTGTACCTGTCTTCACCTGGAAGGTCATTCATCATAAATTATATCCTAAGACAGGAGGTATTAATTCAGTTCAAAATGACGATTGACGTTATGACAAAATGCACTTGGATATTAACTGTTATTGGATATTAGCTGAGCCAAAATTTTCCCAAATACCTTTTTTCCAATTGTAAGTTCAATCATTTTTGAGTATAGTCGAATAAATAGTTATACTTCTTTGATCCTTTAAAATACAAGTCTTTGATCCTTTAAAAGTCAAGTCTCATTTAGCAACGACTGCTTTGCTTCGCAATCTGGTTCAATATATTTTGATTTGTAAAAGATTTATAACTTATCGTCACATTAATTGTGCCAGGACTTATAGAATCTCCACAAAGCATCAGATTGATATTAATTAGACTGTGTTCGACATTATATGAAATTGGATTGCAATGAATATGATAATCATTTGGAAAGTGCTGTGGCGGTTTCATCAGCAGCTCTTCAGATGTATCTAATATTACTACTTACATATAGACACGGCCCACACCCGATAATCAGCATAATCATTAATCATAATAATCGTTCATCCAAATGCTCACTAATTCCTTTCTCCAAGTGTAAAGTGTAAACTGAATTGAAGGAAACTAAAGTAAAGACGAAACTGTGGCATGATCTTAAAGCTACTCAGAGACATCTCAGTAGCTCAACAATATTCACGCAAGCTTAAATTCTAAAACGAAATTTAATGTTCTATATGAAAACATTTTTCTGCTTTTTAGAACAAAGTAAAAGTCATCAGACCAAGACTTCAATGCAGATAGATTTCATGAATAGAAGGTAGATATGGAGAGCTGTCGTGTATGTATGCTTTTCGAGTTTGGTAGAAATTTCCTTTGTCACAACAAATTGACATGTGTGCTGTTATTTGTTGCTGGCCAAGTGACTGTGTCTGGTAGCTGTCAGGGCCAACTAGAGTGTTTGGTCTTCAGCGCAGTGCTCACTGCGTAGTCAATCTTTTATTTAAACTGCAGAAGTGCTTAAATATTAAAGTGCCTTGTCTTCGCACTTTGCAGTCTGAGTTGAATCGTTTACCTCGTCGTCGTCGAATTCGTGTCAAGCGAGTCGACTTCTTCTTTTCAGTGCAGAATGCCACACAATGGGCATTAAATTTAATTAGCTGACATAAATTTGCAGCACTGGATCGGAATGTAAAGCTGAATTTGAATCTTTGGCTGGTGTTGACTCTGCTTGTGCAGCTGCGGCTGTGGCTGTCGCAGGAGCAGGAGCAGGAGCAGGAGCTGGGGCTGGGCAGGGGCTGGGGCTGGGACAAGGACTAAGGCAGTGGTCTGGCATTTGCATCAAAGTGAAAAGCAAGGTAAGCACGAAAATCATTCGAGTTGACATTTTTAATGGAAGCGGAGCAGAGTGGAGCGGCGGAAGAGTCTGTGCCAGCCAGTTCACAAAAAGTCTGGACGGGGCCTGTCGAGCTGAGCGCATGCATTTTCATGACTTATGCAAGTTTTGACGACAGGTGCAAGCCTGTCTGTCTATATATATGTATATACATATATATAAAGTGCAAGTGTAAGCGTGTGTGTTCGTGTTAAATCAACTGTCACTTCCTGTCGACAAACTTCGTCCTGCAAGGCAGCAGGAGTCGGGTAGGGTGAGTCGGGCTACACAGGGAACATCGTTCGAGGGCCACTTCGAGTTATGATAGCTGCATGCATTTCAACAATTTACTTAACTGTTAACTGCTCTAAAAATTATGGAAGAATCCGAAAATCGACAACTTGCTAGATAACGAGCTGGAGACCTCCTATAAATACTAATATGAATATACAGCTAGAGCACCTTTTGAAGTAGGTCAAAGCCAGGTAGGAGAATACGAATAGTATTTTTTTGTTTTTTTAATGCTATTCATAAATGTTTTTGCTACCACAATTTGTTGGACTTTAAGCCGGTGTCTGATTATATGTATGTTTCTTTTTTCATATATCTTTATTTTATTTTTGATTTTTGTGCACGCGTCCAACTGTAGTTAATTAATTTTTTGATTAACACAAAATTGAGCTGACGACTTGCTGAGCGTCATTTATGGCATGAAATTAACGCCATTAAAAATCACTGCATACTAATTAACTGCAACTGCAACTGAAACTGAAACTGAAACTGAAACTGCAGTGGAAACAGTAATTGCAGCGTTTTTTCTTATTCTTTTGTATCAATGAAAATGCGTAAAATTAAGCTTCCAAATGGCAAATTATAATCCCGACGACACGTGGATATACACAAATTACAGGTCAGCATCAACACCAAAGAGCTCGTTTTTTTAAAGTAAATTTCAAATCGATATTTGCAGCCAGAGTATATAATTATATTTTATTAATAAACAATACATGAAAGCTGAATAAAAACATTGATTTATTTTTATTTATTTGGATGAACTCAGTTGAACTCAGTTACAACCATCTCTGCTGCATTCCGATGAAGAAGCTCAAGCTCTCTCTCCTCTCTCAGAGCGGCGGCTACATGAATGTGTGAAAAAAGCGATCTACCTGTACACTGATAAATGGGCTATAGCGATCTATATAAAGCTCTAGTGAATAATCGATCCCAATAATCGATTGTTTTGACGTTGAGGATGGTCGTAAATAAAAATGCTACAAGAATCTCATTTTGTCGAAATCAATTCATTCCTTGATAATATATAACATTCCACAGGCTCAAGCTTGAAAATATCCGATTATTTAAATTTATTTCCGTATCTATATTATTTTATAATATAACATCTGAATAGTAACCCCATGTCTGAGTTAAAATGTAACTTAAAATGTCTGAGTTTACAGAGGAACAGTAACGCATATTTCGACAAGTTGACTACGAACTTACGCTGATTATAATTATATAAAATCCAAGTTCTCTGGTGAGAGCTTACGGCTTAAGCACGGCCATCTGTCCACGGAAAGATGCGTATGCTTCGCATCCGCTATGAGCCTCGGTTATGGCGCTGCTTCCATTTTCCATTTTTTATGCGATTGCCGCATCCTCGCACGGAGAGAGGAGTAGTTCTTCATTGGTGTTGTTGGGATTTTTGTATATGGAGCGCTGTGCGGGAATCCCCCAATGGCTGCTCGGTGCATTGCATTCCATGACGTAACTGATGTTGATTACGGATAACATGGTGACTGCGCCACGCTCCTGTTCACTCCTGATTTGCTGCCTTTTGGTATGATGCACACTCGTCGCTGCCTCCGCACCTACTCCAAAGTGCAGGACTTTGGACTTTAAGAGCGTCTGCCAGCAGGCATGAGCGCCTGTTCTATGCAACGTAAACTGAATACTGAATCATGTGGTAATGGATCGAAATAATTAGATTTAACTCAAATACGTTGCATTGGAAGGTCGATGCTTAGAAAGAGGCATTTTTCTTTAATGTATAAAATAAATATATATATGTGTATTATTATATAAGTCAATGCCAACTGTCTGTGCTTTGTTCTTACAGTCAGTTCAATCAATATGCGGAGTATCTGCTATAAGTTCTCAATTCATTCGATGTTGTGGAACGCAGTGAACGACGAAATTCTAAATGTTGAATGCCAAGGAATGTTTTGTGGCAATGTATTTATTCTTCTGTTTTTTGACACGCGAGTGAAGAGTAAACAAAGAAGAAGAAGAAGAAGAAATAAAATCGATTGACATCCGTCGAGCAAGTCAGTACAACAGGGCAGAAGTCTAAGTGTCCAGGGGTGAGGCCGGGGGGCGGCGATAATGTCTGCCGGTGCATTGACAACTGCAACTGCAACTGCAACAGCTTCGTGGGTTCTCAGCGCTATTTGAATTAACTGACAGCGGAAACAGGTCGCGTCGAAGGTTCGTGTTGTTCTGTGTGCTCTACGCTGAACTGTGGTGTGGTGTGGTGTGGTGTGGTGTGCTCCGTGCCCTGCCTCGCCGCCTGCCGCCAAGCGCTTGTTTACAAAATAAGCGAAAGCTGTGCCAATAAGCCTCAACGTCGCCTGCACTTAATTTATTTGCAACAAAACGTGGAGAAACCAAAACTTTTACGCAAGTGCAACTTTGCTTTACGTGCTTTTCTCATTCCCATCCGCATTCGCATTCGCATTCGCATTCGCAGCCACATCCGCATCCGCATTCACATTCGCATCACTTGGCTTGTTTTCAACACATTCAGCGGGAGCGCAGGCCACGCGCTTTTTGGCGACCGCAAACACGAAGGAGACGGCAGCAAGTCTATCGAATTACACGAAAATGGGAAAAGGGAAGCGGCAAAGGGAAATGGATGTTCAAGGTGGAGGACGAGTATCGAAGACCGGGGAAGGCAAGTAAAATTAAAGCATTTACATATTCCCCAGCATCTCGGCAGCGGCACAGAGCAAACGGATCCCGAGCAGCATTGAATCCGAATTGAGCAAACAAATCCGTGCAAGAATATGAGTAGAGAACACTTGTGACATGTGAGGGTCCGCCTCCTGCTTGGCGCTGCGGCTGCGGCTGCGGCTGCGACTTGCACCGCGAAAGCTTTCAGACATATTAAAAATAATTTTCAATTAGTGTGCCGTAATAAAGTTGATGGAAGGAAAACGATTTGCAATATTCATTTAGCATTTTTAGCAGAAATCGAAGTAGTTGTTGGCTTTTGTTTGCCTCGACATGTAGCCAAATAAAATATAAAATATGTCACGCGCACGCAGAGGTCGTTCATTTATAAATATTATTTGCTGGCAGGAAGCTGGGCGTAGATTCCTGCTCTAATTTTGCATATAAATTACAAGCAACAAATAATCAAATGCAAATATGTCCTTAAGATTCAATTTTTGTGCAATCAACACACTTAAACGCATCATCACCAAATGCCATCAAGAGCAAACGACAGCAGTTATAGAAAGAGAGAGAGCGAGATAGGGAGAGAGAGAGAGAGAGAGTGAGTAAGAGCGGGTGGGTGGTTGAGATAGATTGCAGACATTGGAATTGCGTTGAGTTGTAGCGGCAAAGCAGACATGGAGCATAGCTGCAAGAGTATGTCTGTATGTGTGCGTGTGCCTGTGTGCGAGTGTGTGTCTGTCGCCTGTCTGTGTGCGTGAATGTTTTCCTGTGTGCTCTTCAACTTTACGCGCTGTTTGGCAACGCCTCAGCGCGCCGTCAACGAGACGTTGTCCTTCACACTTGTCACAGGCGCCCCATTTTCCATTTTCTGCTGCATGCAATCAAATTTTAAATCCCGCCAACTGTCTGCCAGAAGCCCGGCCGGTTCGTATTAAAGCCTCGTTAGCCCATTGGAGCACTAATAGCTGTTGTGACTGCTGCGCGAATTCGCCCTGGATCGAGTGAGAAATTGTGAGATATGTGAGGCTGATTGGGCTGCAGCTTCAGCTTTTGCTTTCAGCTCGTGTCATTGACACCTTTGAGCTGCCTGGCAAAATTAGCACTCGGAATGGACCCGAGTGAATTGAATAGCTGATTTATGATCGCACTTAATGTGTAAATATGTAAGCAGGAGTCTCCATCTCCATCTCCATCTCCATCTCCATCTCCGTCTCTATTGGTGCTAGCCCAGCAGCTTGTTTGTTTATGCAGCGCACATTGGACAAAGGAGACGAGATAGCCAAAGGCCAGAGGGGAACGGGTCAGTGGAGGAGCTGCCGTCTCTTCTGCTGCGGCTGCTGAACTGAATTGACCAACATTTGCTTAAGCAGGCGTGTGAAAATTGACCATTAGCAATGCAATATATTCTCAATCTGTGTATGATATAGCTTGTTGGTGTGTGTGTGTGGTCCCAGTGTCTTTCTGAGTGTGTGTATGTGCGGGGCTCTGATAATTGGTGTAAGGACCGCAGGCATTGGCAAGGGACAAGCGCCAGAAATAGGCTCATTTATTGTATCTCGCTTGCACGCACACAAACACAAAACATACACACACACACACACACACATTTGCGTTTAATATGCAGCTGCATAACTTATGGCAGTGGGAGCCATTAATTTGAGTCTGCACACATGCAAGACACATGCAGCAAAGGGCACAAAGGGCGACAGAAGCAGAGAAGCAGAGAAGCAGAGCAGAGAGCAGCCAGCCAGAGAGGAGGCAGGCAACAAACGTTGCATAGCCACAGGCGCACGTGCGTGACCAGAGAAGGCTGCCTGGCTAGGTGCAGAACCTGAGCACACACACACACACACACACACACACACAAATACACACACACATACATATGTATATAGATATGACTGGCACATATTTTATTTTAATTTGGTCGACAATGGCCAAAGCGAAAGCGAATTTTCGTTTGGTTTGTCGCTTGTCGCCGTCGCAGTCGCCGTCGCCGTCGCAGTCAGCGTTGACGTCGCGTTGGCATCTTCGGCGTCATTACGAGTGCTTCATTTGCCTTATTGAATCTGGCACACGTTTCACAATAGTTGCCGCTACACAGAGCTGAGGAAATCACAATGGAAGCACAAAACAATATGCAAACAATTTTTACCTCTACATGACTGAAATACACAAAATGCCAAAAGGAAGGCAGCAGCAAAGGCCACGCCAAAAGCAAGGACAAACCAAACGCATTTATGGTCACGTGCGTACTACATATATACATACATACATATATATAAATAAATTTACTCAATGGTTCACAATTGACCAGACACGAAACTGTTTGGGCGAAAATAAAAAATGCCCACAAAATGACAGACAAACAATTTCACAGCTCTCAGGCTGCTGCCCGCCCCGATTTACAGATATCGCAGATAATTCCTTCTGCCCTGCTACGTCATTCATTTCATGTGTTCTCTAACCATCAATTGTTATTTAACGCAATTATTTTGGCGCTATATTTAAAGTGTGCTTGCTTAAATAAAGAGAGGAATGAAAAATGTGGCAACGCTGTCAGGCCACAGACCCCATACCTGTATTCGCAGTTCGTAGCTGCTTTGCATGTTAATTAGCTGGCCATTCATTTTAAAAGTTTAAATTCTGCTTTGCTTCACTCGCCAATTTTTATTGGTCTTAACTTGATCGACGTTTTCCTTATTTTAACGCACACAAACTTGTCTGTCACGGCAGCAGAGTGTGCGTGCGTGTGTGTGTGGCAGGGTGTGTGAGCGAACGTGCGTGTAAATGTGAATGTGTGTGAGCCATGGTGATTGATGATATCCCACGAAARGGTAGGGTAAAGGAGATAAGGCCAAGCCCGAGTTGACAATTATAATTTAATTTGGATATTTTATCAAGTCACAAACTCGAAAAGGGAATATCCTTGGGAAAAGGTATATTTTATACATATTAGCAATATACAGCGAAATATAACAGTTGGAACAAGGTATGAAAATTTACTTTGCATCAGTTCTGTTATCACGCCATTCGTTGTATTTAAAAACATGAGGAGCAGAATCGTCTAGTGTGGAGCAGTTCAAGTACGTTCGTCAAGTAACCTCATGCTTCGTTAAGCTTAGAACATTGTTATAATGCTCGATAAGAGTGTGGATTGTAATAACGAAATTCGAGTATAGTGTTATACAGTGATTTCGTTAAGTTCTTATTATCGTTATTATCTTAGACTCAAACCAAATACACTGTATATTGTTATAGTGCTACCAGACAGTTAAATATGGAAAATAGCCGAGCCAAGCACCTTTTTATACTCGTAACAGTTTCTTAGCTTGGGTAACATTACCAATTTAAAATGTAATTATAACAGTGTTAACAGCACTGTTATTGATCAACTCCCGCTTGTGAGTAAACCAAACGGAATATATTTATTTCAAATGCTCTGTTATAAAGTAATTGCCAGTTATATGTACATCAATTATATATTTCAGTTTTTTCGTTTAGCATGGAACATTACTTGAATTGAAGAAAGAAAAGTTGATACTCCTTCGATTAAATCGTCTTAAGGAATTAAATTTTTGTTTGCTTTCCGTGGGATGCCTGTGGCTCGGCTGCAGCTTTGTTAGCTGCTCCATAACATCCGTCAACATTTGCTGAGCAATGTTCGCCTTGCGCCTGAGCCTCTCCAGGCCCAGGTTGCCCATATCCTCCACATCCACGAGGCCAGACCCAGGCTGCAGCCCACTGCACCCCCTACAGGCCTTCGGCGGCTGCCTCGCCCCCGCCCTCGCCTTCACCTGTTCGCCTGGCCCGCTGTTAGCCGGTGACATGGTTGCTCTGGCTCTTGCTCCCGCTGCTGTTTTACACACGACACTGATAACAATTGAACTTACGTAGTCGCTGAGGCTGCGGCGGCTGCTGCTGTTGCTTCACTTGATACACAAATCATTCTGTTGGCAGCTCCAAAGCTTTAATAGCCAGCGGGCAAACGTTTAGGCAGCACGTCGACTGCTATTTGCCAGCTCCTCGCTCTGCCCCCTCGCCCCACATATTATTCCGTGTTGACTCGTTAAACATTGCCGACGTTAAGCAGCCGCTGGCTCTGGCTACGTTTGCTAACGAAATAAACGTTGAGACTAAAGAATTCACAGTATATTGGTTAAAAATGGGCCTCGCAACTAGCAGATACCCTGGAAACTTTAATCTGAGCCGTGGATATTCCATTTGCATTATGAATTACTCTGTGCTATGAGAGAAGGCACTTATCATTGCTTGATGCTTTCTCATTTGGTTTTCAAGCCATAATTTGAAACCCATTGAATCTGGGGACACCAAATTATAATATATATA